CCTGCAACTCTCCATGTTTCACCAGTCCTTTTCGTTTCTACCTTTGGAGTCTTCCTCATGTTCTGATCCTTATAAACCTTTGACTGAATCACCATCAATCTTGACCTCAATGTACCATAGGTCACATATCTTGACCTCTCTTCCAGCAAAGACAACATGTACACCATCTTGTACCGCTGTTTAGACTCAAACAGAACACGCTGTCTAACCATCTTGTTAAAAAGACTTTCGATACAATTCTCTAACATGTTCATTGATAGAATACATCGAGAATTTCCCCAAACAGAACCTGCAGTCTCCTTCCTCGTTCAATTTATGCCATCATAAAATTCTTTGATGCATGAAGATCTGAAACGAAACCCTTTGAAACTCAAATTCTGTTTCTGCACCTCATGACCTTGATGATACTCCCAAAACTTAACCCAATTAATTCTTTCTCGAACTTTGTGGTTGCAGCGGAAACCACGTTAAGTCTTCGACATCTAAACCTGCCATGTTACCCTTTGATTGAATCTTCTCTATGAAGGACTCGCACTTCACGTTGAAGAATAAAGAAATACTATTTTTCTTCCTTTGCCACAAGCTCTAACATTATCTCCACCTTGATCTAAATCCCTTGACACATAGGTACACCCACCTATTTAGATAGACCAGCCTTGAACGAACACACTTTGTACCGCCATGAATAATGGAACCCGCCGCCTAACTTTCAATCTAGTTAGGAAGACTTTCGATACTTACCTTGTTCAACTCCCTTGAGATAAGTGTTATTGCTTCGACACCTTGAACTTCTTCTTTGCGATTCTGTATAAACTCCATGATGTCTTTTACTTCCGCAATCAAAACCTAGATTGCTCTGATACCACTTGTAAGGAATTCTCGATCGTTTGATTGCTTAACTAAATAACACATAGAATTTGATCACCGAGTTCCCGGCCTCTAGCACGGTACGTCTCGGGTGGGAACCGTCTCCCACAACTTCCACTATCAATCAAAGGGTTTTACACAAATGCTCTAAGCGCTCTACACAACAAAGAAACTCTATCCCTTAGAGACATGACTCGA